TGGACTGGATGGGCCTTTGGCCTGATCCAACATTGGCGTCTCTTATGTTCTTATACTGAATTTGGAGGGTGCTCCATTCTGAGCAAAAGTGCATAGGAAAAACAGCCAAATTTATTCTACTTCCTAGGTTTTGAAGAAATCTGGAACTGAAAGGAGGTGGGATTCAGCCTAGGTTAGAGGCTAGCAGGCCAGAGGAGATGGACTCTCATCCCCAGGAAATCAGACATCCTGCCTCTGTTTTTCTAAATAACTGCAAGATTAGCAGTACCATCCTAGACAGAGTTACTCCAGTCTGAGACCAGTGGGCTCAGACTGACGTAACTTTCTTTAGAATTTATATTTTTATATGCTTCCTGTGTGTCACCCTGCCATATGGTAAATGAATAAATAATGTAAGCATGCTGCCTGGGAAGTAATGTAAAATGCTCCCTTGTGTACACGCAATACACTCCTTGCTCCTCCCACGTCTGCAAAACCCAGTCCAGTCCCCCCCCCTATGAAATTCTGAATTTAAATAGATTGCATCCTTGTAACCACAAACTTCCCAAGAAGTCACACACCAAGAAATATACATGGCAGAACTTTGAGATGCAACTGCAAAGTAGCCGGTTCCAAGATAATGATGCAGCCTGACCCAGATTCTGGTTTAGCAAGCAAAAATGCACTCAGTGTCTAGGGAAACAGATGCACACATTTAAGAGAAAGGGAGGAGGGAATGGAAGGGACATACTCAGAGGAGGGCGTGTCCAAGACTTCCAGGCAATAACGGTAAGACTTCTGCACTCTATTAAAGATAGCAGTGTCTTGGGGGGGGGGGGAACAAAATAATGTGGTACTCTATATGAAAAACATAGTACAAGCCCCCCCCCCCCAAGTTTCTGAACCAAATTGTGTGGAATAACTGCCACCTTTATCGCACCATAAAATCCAATCTTTTCTCTGCCACAGGGTCACCAACAGGCCTGGAGAAAAATGTCCTGTCTCTTTAATGGGTAAAAATGGACGGCTGAACCTCTTCATGACATGGAGCCAAAGGACATCACTTGGTAAGTAACATCTCATCGAGCCTCTATTAATGGGACAGGACATTTTTTAAAAATCCAGGCCGTCGGCATCCCCAAGATCTAAACCTTAAAACTTTTTTTTCTTTTAGGAGAAGGAATGTTGTGGTTCACAGGATGCCAGAGAGACCCCCATGATTCTGTTCAGAGGCATGCAAAACACAGAGACCCTATTCATATGAGTGGCTTTAATTTCCTAAACCCATTAATGGACTTTTGCCTCCTGTCTGCTTTGCAAACGGAACTGAAATGCATCTGAACAGGAATCTTGAAGGTCCTTATTAGAGGGAAGTCCACGCCTCTACTTCGAACTGTTTGTTCACGTGACGTTTACTAGGGCAGTCTCTTCCCCAAGATGTTTATATTCACCATGCTAAAACAAACAGTTAAATACAAAGGACACCTTGGAGGGATCTGAGGGATCTTGGTTCAGGGGCTAAGCAGTGCACTCTTGTGGCCCCGGTCACACGGGAGGATTTGCCCCGTGTTGAGAAAGAGACTGATATTTAGCAGATTGGCTAACACCCGTGATGCGGACGGGTTGAGGGCGCATCAAACGGGCGCAATCAGATGCCAACATATGGCAAGCATCACGCAAACCGTCCCTTCCAGCCGAAAACGCGGATCAAAAAGGTACTAGGGAAAATGTAGTACCTACCGGAAGATCTGCAGCAAGGCCGGGCGTGGGATTGCGGATGCGCTGGCAGCCCGTGTTATTCGAGGGACTGCCGGACTGCGCATGCGCACGAATACTCCAGCAGCCTCGGCCACCCCCCCCTATAAATGGAAAGCCTCACCACCAGGTCGTGACGTCATCAAATGTAGGCATAACATTCCCTGAACTCTGCAGTTTCCAGCAACTGTCACAAGTGTTTTAACTTGCAGTTTCTCGTGTACCCAACAAGATATTCTCTTGATTCTTTCACTGCAGTATTCCAGACACTTCACACTAGCTTACAGTGTTACTGAGTTCAGTTTCCCTTGCATATTTGAGTGCATGTTTCGTATAATTTACAAGCATATAATAGGGGGGGGTGCCTCGGCTCGCCAGTCTTTGCCTCGCTTCCCCTGGCCATGTGATCGCGCCGGACAGAATATGAGTGGTGGCTCGGGGAAGCGTCTGATCCCGATGCCGTGATTGGGACCTTGTGTCTGAAATAATGGCATGTGCCCCATATAAGGCTAAGGCACACCCACCTTTTAAAAAAAGCCTACAGGGATATCTCTGTGCAAGCACAGCTTTGATCTCCAAACAAGAAACCGAATCTTTACATGAGTTTTCAAAGGCACTGTGGTAGTCTGGCCTGCATCCAAGGCCTTCAGAGCAGCGGCATACACGGGATTGCCTCATTTGACTCTCATTTAACAGGCAGGCTGGGTTTCAACATGCTGGAGTTCTTGGGAAAACACGGGCTTGAGATCAGCTCTCCCTGTTTCCGAACGCTCAACGTGATTCCCACTCTGGTTTTTAAAACTGTTTATAGTGGGGGTCCCAAACCTTTTTGAGCCCAAGGGGACCTTTGGGATTCTGACAACGGCCAGGAGGCAGAGGCAGCCACAAAATGATGGTCACAATGTGAAGATTCTTGTAGCTGGTGGTGGCAGCTGCTGCCCAAGCGACGTTTTTAAAAATCTGCATGGCCAATCAGCTCTCCAATAGCCATCCGCAAGCCTGGCTGGGCAAAAAGTCCTACCTGCCCTACCCACTCCCTAAAAATGATGCCCAAAACGGTTGGTGGGTGCTGTGGTGCCCACAGGCCCCATGTTGGGGATCCCTGGTTTATAGACTGACAAACGGGAAAAAGGGGCAGGGTGCCCACCTGACTTTGCTTCCAGTTTCCCGTACTTCCCTGCTTCACCGGAAAGAGAAGTTGTGCATCTCTCCTTGAAAGAGATGTGCAGGGCTGCAATCACACACACTAAATAATCCACTTTCAATGCACTTTCCAACTGGATCTTGCCAGTTTACACAGTAAAATCCAGTTGGAAAGTGCACTGAAAGTGGATTATTTAGTGTGTGTGACCGCAGCCCACATCCCTGCAAGATGCGTTATAATCAAACAACAATACAAAGCACAGCAACAGCTAGTTTTCCCTAAAAATTCCCTACATTGTTGTCTTAGTCTCACAATTGTTACAGGGTGTCCTTTCATGCTTTCAAGATCTATTTTTATCGGGGGCTTTTAGGCTAGAAAGGCAGCCTCTAAATAAACAAATAAACAGGATGTGCAAACCCAGTGACATTTCCTGCTTTTTCCACTTTTCATAGCAATCAATTGGACCCAGAGAGTGCATGTATGTCCCTGCTGGAACATGCCTGGGGTACTCCAGTCAAGGGTCTCAGAGTGCCAAAGGCAAGAGAGAAATTCCATTTAACTCCACGTCAGTGGAAAGTGGTGCCCACTCCTCTTTTTAAAACAGTGGTGTCTAAAAAGTATGTATGGATTAGAGACTTTTCCATCATCCAGCCAGAAAATAAAGTTTAATGGGGGGAGGGGGGAGGGAGGGAGGGAGAGAGGGGTCATCTTGCAAAGTAAACAAAACTCTTATCTACTTAAGAAAGATAAAGTGAACTGGGGGAGGAGATGCAGCCAATTCTGATTTCCAGGAAATCTGCTGTTTTTCCCCAGCCAAAACATTTACCTTCTTACCACCCCTTCTTGAAAACCATACAAAAATAGCGCCTTCTGCCTGTAACGCCACTAAATTTAGCCACTGTATGAAACAAGAGTGGTTTGGAGGAGGAAACCCCTATCTATTTTCAAAGATGGGTTAAGACTCTTTGGTGTTACTTTGCCAGATCCAACCGTCCCTTCCTCTAAAGGCTGGAAAATATTTTTGTAGCACCGGCGAGAAGACCAGAGGGACAGGAACGTCTGACCAGTATTTATATATGTGTGTGTGCATTCACTTAAGACAAATGCACGTGGAGTTTTTAAAACCATTCCTCCAGGTTCATCAATGTCCCACTGAGTTCCATGAGATACACTCCTCCTAACCAAGCAAGTCCAGGTCTGAGATGCCAGCCTCCAGATGGGACCTGGGGATCCCCCGGAATTACAGCTCATCTCCAGACTACAGAGGTCAGTTTACCTGGAGAAAATGGATGCTTTGGAGGGTGGACTCCTATCGGCATTGCACTGCACTGAGGTCCCCGTCCTCCCCAGGCTCCATCCTCAAATCTCCAGGAGTTTCCCAACCTGGAGCTGGCAACCCTACTCCCCCCCCCATCACTCGCCAATGGCCAGGCAGGCCTTGGCAACCGTCCCACTGAGTTCAGCGGCGCTTACTCTCCAGCAAGCGTACGTAAAACTGCAGCCCTGCACGCTCGATCTCCTGCAAAGGTTTCTGCGGGTTTGAAACCCGATCCTCTGCATGCCAAAGCGGAACTAACCCCCGCTGACATCAAACAAGGTTTAATTCGGATTGCAGGGTGAAAACTTTCCCAAAGGCGCCAGACCTCCTGCGGGTCTGTCTCGAACTGGAACCCAACATGATTACTCAGATATTTGCTTTGCACGGGAGACATTTTTCGCAGGCCCCCTCGGTTACTCCTCCTTGGCATCCCCGACCCCAAGTAACTCTTCCATGAAATTTACTTCCGACTCGGCTTGGGGTCTCGGGCTGCAGTCCTAGAATCCGATCCAGCACGCCTCGATCCGGCGGACGGTGAGACTTTCCCACTTCCCTCCGAAAGCCTCAGAAACACAACTGCAACCTTTACAAAGTGAGGGAGCATCGGGCGCCGAATTTAGGAAGTCTTTGTGAATGCAGCAATGAAGTCCCCGGCGGCCGGGGGGGAGGGTTTGAAAAGTACAGCTGCAACCCCCCCTTTTTTTTGAGAACGGCCCACATGATCCCCCCCCCCTCCCCGCGCAACCAGAAACGGGTTCCACTGCAGGCAAATCCAGCCGAAGTTTGCACGGCTCTGGTACTGACCTGCTGGAGCTCGTTGGTGAAGTAGAGGAAGGTGATGGCCACGCAGATGGACTGCACCAGCACCGCGAAGATCAGCACCAGGCCGCAGGTCTGCCCGGGGCTGGGGCCCGCCGAGGCAAACATCATGGTCGTTTGCAGACAAAGGAGGCGGACGGCGACCCCCGGGCAGGCCTGCAGCTGGGCGAGGCGCCGGAGAGGGAGCGGGAGAGACGGAGAGGAAAGGCGGCTGTTACTGGGTGGAGACTGCTTTTTTGTTTTGAGGTGGAGCCCTTTCCTGGCTGGGTGGTTTCAAATGCGGCCTCCCTCCCCTCCCCCTCCCCTCCCCTCCCCCTTTGGGAAAGTGTGCAGATCGCCCAAGAGTTGGCATGGGGAGAAAAGAAAGAGAAAGAGCGTGTTGTTTTTGCGCCCCGCCGCCATAATTATCTTCCCACAGAACAAAGTTCTCGGTGGCACCCAGAGTCTTATTCCAGATAATAGGCTTTCGTGTGTGCACGCACCCTTTCTCGGATCTCTGAAAAGTGCCACTGGACCTCAGACTTTGTTCTGCTGCTTCAGACCAACACGGCTACCCAGCTGAATTTATCTGTCCACAGAACAAAGTTTGAGTCCAGTGGCACCTTTAAGACCAACAAAGTTTAATTCTGGGTATTTCAAACATGATTTTTGATTTGGGGTATATTTTTAATCACTCTTGTCAAGGAAGTCCTGCAAATAACAAAAAGTTCCTGGGGCTTGTTCTAAGGGGTGCCCTAATTTAAAGGTGAAAATGGAAAGAACAGCATAACCAGCATAGGGTTCATACGGTCAACTGGCATGCTGGGGAACCATGGCTTTGAAGGGTGCATAGGGATGCCAACAGGCGGGGGGGGGGGGGGGGGTC